GCTCCATGGTTGCAACCATGATTTAAAATCAATGGGGGCGGCACATGTGTAGCTAAGGGTCAGTGGACCTCAAATGTATCAATTTGAACAGTGTCAATTGTTTATTTAGACCACTGTGAACACCCCCATTTAATAAGGTGATAAGAGAGAACTGATATTGGTAGAGAAAAGCAATTAGAGTGACTTCTAACATTAAGCTGTACATGAATTCCACCATTTCAAAAATATAGGCTATGCTTACCTCGCCCAACAGCAGAATGTATTGTTTCCATGTCAATTTTTGACTTTGACCTTCCTGGTGTACTCAGCATTTTTTCCCAAACCAAAGTTACATCTTTCAAGCACGGAGTGATTTCTTCATAATCAAGTTTCAGACGCCTGTTCAGCAAATTGTTTTCAGAAGCTAAGAAATGATATTAACAGTGTACCAGTTAAGACTGTACAATACTATCAAACAGATTCACTTACACAGGGCCTTATCATGCAAACATCCACGCTGATGCCTGTCTACATAACTGAAGATGTAGAACTTTTGACAAGCACAGTAAGAACTTCAGGATGCTTTTTTGTTTTAAACTGTTCTAGTTGTGCCGTTCTGTTGGAAGCCATTCTGTTAAGATACATTCTGCATGGCAGCTCAGATGAAGAGCCTCACAACTAGTAAAATCTTTAAAACTGAAAGAGACATTGAAGATGGTTAATGAAATAGGCAAGATATCAAAATTGTCTAACTTTTTCCTCTTCACAAAAAGGATTTAGTGTAAACAAGACCAAAACTGAATATAAGATATAAAAGTAATGTAGTCTGCCCCTTTGTAAGCTACTCTCCCTTTCGATTCAGAATTATCGAGGAGTACTGCTATTTATTACGAGTTCAACACAGTTACAACAGAGTACATGCCATAATAAAAGTCTGTGGCAAGTCTACCGAGAATTTTAGGGATAGCATTTTTTAACAGGATTTTGAAGGGATCAGGGAGTCGGTTGATTTTGTTGGAGGATGGTGGTGATATGGTCAGAGTCTTTGCACATGTGGGAAAGTGAGCAGAAGCACTATTTTGAGCATGTGGAGGCTTGGGGAGACCCTAGAAATGAGAGAGAGAGAAGAGGAGATAAAGGGTATGTCTACACTGTAGACACCCGCTCTGGCTTGTGGGGCTCGGGCTAACTGTGGTGTCAGCAGGATCCTAGTGCCTGGGCTGGAGCCCGAGCCTGAATGTTTACATTGCAATTAAACAGTCCCTTAGCCTGAGTCAGCTGGCACAGGCCAGCTGCAGACTTTTGATTGCTGTGCAGGCATTCCCAAAGAGGAATGAGGATTTAAAGTTTTAAAAAAATTAACTCATATTAAATCCCAAGCAGCTCTCCTGTGTTGAAACCATGTTTAAAAAGTAGTGTCATAAAGTTTCCATCTCTCTAATGATGTTTGTGTGATATATGCATAATACCTTGTTGCTGTGACGATGCATTACTGTAATGCATTACAGTGTACCGACATTCTGAGGACATATTACCATACATCATAAGACTACTGTCACTTTGGTGATTTAATACCATAATACTTCATCAAAACAACACTCCTATTTATTACTGTGTTGAGACAATCTAAGTTAAAAGGACAAAGTAATTTTTTAATAGTTTAACTCTCAATTGTTAAAGATGTTTATACAAATTTAAGTCTTGTTTTCCTTGCTGGTTTTTCCTCTCTCCCATTTGCTGTAGTCAGTATATTGCGAACAATACTTAAAAAAAAATTAATTTACAGAATCTCTGATTATGCCAAAATACTTTGTGTAACAGCACTATTGACTGTGTCATTACAGCTCTGGGTATAGTTTGTTATATAACTACTGCCGCTGAAGTTTTTAAAGCACTGATTTTTGTGGGTCATATGAAGCAAGGGCTATTTTTCAATTTGTCAGAAAAGAATGGTAAATTGGATATAGTTAGAAAATTTTCACCTTTAAATTATATAACAATTCAGGCCCTGATCCTGCCAGCTTTTATGCACGTGAACAACTCAGTGGAATTACTTGAGTGAGTTAATTATGAGTTTTTGCAGGATCAGGGCTGTTTAGTTTCCCAATGAATCAATTTGTAGGCCTTTTATGACATTTCATTAATCTGAATAACCTAAATCCTTGAAATGTATTTAAAAATTTGTTTTGTTTATAATCCATTTTGAGGTAACAGGTTTCCTAGAAAGTAAGTTAAAGGCATTAGCAGAGACTTTAATCACAGCAGTGTTTTCCAGGGCAAGCGAGCCCATCTTTATAACTTAGTTTACTGGGGCTCAGGCAAGCAAAAGTAACCAGTGAATCCAGCTGTTTTGTTTCACATCCCACACTAGTAGGATATACTCTTCTAGAATGCTATCTGGCCTTAGAAGCATAGATTGCAGCACTGAATACTGAATTCAGACTGTGTAGGGAAGATTACGCAAACTAAACAGTTACACTCATATGGCACAAGACTGAATTCCCACTTCTGTTTCAACTATGTGGTTTTTCCTCCTCCCAAGTTAACTACGTAGGAATTTACAAAATTAAAAACAAAAATGCTTCACCCTTACTGGATATCATTATAATGACCACCATTTTCTAGCTGGATAAACTGAGTCACAGGGACATCACAGATTAGATTTACAAAGGCATGTGCCTAAAGATGCAGACAGGCACCTTACAAAAACACCTAATCGGGTTAGGCGCTTAACTCCCATTGAGTTAGGTGCCTAACCTGCTTATGTACATCTGTAAACCCCACTGGGTACCTGACTGCATCTTTAGGGGCTTAAATACACCTCTACCTCAATATAATGCGACCTGATATAACACAAATTTGGATATAAAGCGGTAAAGCAGTGCTCCGGGGGGGCGGGGCTGCACACTCCGGTGGATCAAAGCAAGTTCAATATAACGTGGTTTCACCTATAACACGGTAAGATTTTTTGGCTCCCAAGGACAGCGTTATATCGAGGTAGAGGTGTATTTAAGCCACTAAAGATGCAGTCATGTCTTTAGGGAGATAGCTCCAAGTGACCTGCCCAAACCTTTGATGATGTCAAATATGAAATTGCTTAACATTAATCTTCAAGATAACTGACTGCAATTATGAGAAGAACTAACATGAGAATTAGTGGTATAGTTTACTATATGCTTCTAATCTCTGTCTGTTACCCTAAATTTTCTGATAAAGAACCTCTATGTTTTCATACTCAAAAGTCCTTAAGATTGATTTGTTTTAGGATTTGAAATGATGCATTCTAACTAGAAATTATTATTTACAATCCTTGTAAGAGGTCGCTTTTTTCGTGTTTGTCTGTTTCCAAATCACAGTTGCCAACTTTCACGTGGTAAATAAGCACCCTGTCTTTCACAATAAGCCAAAAATCAAACTAATCCCATTTCAAAACAAGGCCAAAACAAGCCAATCCCTAAGAACCCCAACACTCTATGTGACTAGATCCCCCCAGCGTGCAGTCTGGGACTGTGGTAGGCCCTCTGTGCACCCCTGACTCTCTCTCCCCCCCCTTGTCCCTGCTTGCCGGGAGCCGATCAAAAAAACAGAAGCAACAAGCAACAAGCCAAAAACTAGCCAACAAGCAACTCACAAGTCAAGTAAGCCAAAAACAAGCCTGATTTCTGCATTATTTTTTTTTGCGGGTTTGGCATGTCTGTTCCACATATCCATCCTGCTATGCCAAAGGTATGGTTAAAAAACCCAAACATAAATTTTATCCAGAATTTTCTTTTAATATACCAGAGATTTGATTCCGAAGAAAGGAATGTGCGGGGAGGGGGAGTAGGAGGGCCATTTGGCCTGGGTCTCAAGCTCAAAGGGGGCCTCAAATTTAGACATTTGTTAATTCTTTGGCATTTGATAAGTTTTGCAACTTGTTTTTATGTGCATCCCTATCAGACCAGAAAAGCATTTGTTAAATAAAAAAATATTAAAATTATGTCTCACTCTTTTTTTGATGCCTTACTTTGTTTTCGTGTGTTGTTCTTTTTTTTTTTTTTTTTTTAAACTA